GGGCCACTTGAGTGTCCACAGTGGTTATGGATGCAGAGGGTGTCCACGCTGACAGACATGGTCTTGGCTGGATCAGCTATATTTGTACAGCTTGCCGACCATCTTCTTGGTGATTCTCCTGGGCCCTGGGCCCGTGAGCTTGCAGATCTCCTTGGTGTCCGGGTAGTAGCAGTACAGTGCCCTGAACAGGCAGCTTGTGTCACGAAATAGGATGAAGTAGTGATTGGCATCACACTTCTCCAGCTCCTCCAATATGGAGTTCTTCCTTCACCTTCCCAGCAGTGGGAGAAGGCCTTGTGGATGATGGGCTTGTTGGACTTTCTACTGGGCTCTTTGAAGAGCTTGGGACCTGTGTACTCTGCCACCTAGGCCAGGGAGGAAGCTGCCAATGCCGTTTCCCAGTCCTGGTCTGTTCTCCTGCTTGGGTTGACGGCAGGGTCCTCGCCAATGAAATCCTGTTCCACTTCTTCTATGTCTCCCACATCAGAGTCAGAATCTGGCCTCGGGAAGCCCAGGGCTCCTTATAGGGGGTTCCAGAGCTTCTTGGGCCAACATATAACCTCCCCTCTGTGTCACCATCAGCCCTGACTAGGCGAAGGAAAAAGCCATTGGCAGACTGTCACTGAGAAAAGGGATCCAATCTGCCAATGGCCAGAGGGCCCCCCCCACCATGCACTTCTGTTGCTTCTGCAGACTGCAGCCCCACTCTGCAGGGTCAGTGCTGGCAGCAAGCTCTGAGGACAAATTGGGTGAAAGTGCTATTCAAGTCACAATGTCCCGTCGTTTTCTTCAGAGCAGCAGGTTGAGTGCCCTCCCTGGGCCTCCTGGGCACAATGCTCTAAGGTCTCCTTTCCCCTCGCTCATCCTTCTTGGTAATGGTCTGCTTCTTTTTGCTGGCCTCAGCACTGCTGGCAGCAGGGGCTCCAAGAAATATCTGTCAGGCTTATTCTCTAGGGCATCCACCTGCCTCTGGGGGACTGGATCAGTGCACTTCAAAGCTGATATCCTGTGATCCCCAACCGCCCTCATCTGCTGCTGGCCCTGGTTCCACCCCCAGGAGCGCTGGCCAGTGGCTGGTCTCTGGGGGACTTGGCAGTGCATGGCGGAGAGGGGCTTATGCGGCCAGGGTGGTCTTGGAGGTGGCTTGATAGGGCATCCAAGGGCCATGCGTGGGGGATGGAGGCAGGGAGCTCTGGCACTCTCTTGCCATGCATTTGGCGGGAGATTGAGTCCTGGAGACTGGAGGAAGCGCGGGGATGAGTGTGGGAAGGCAGTGGTCGCTCTGGCGCTGCATTGGGCTGAGGACTGCAGAGATGGCTGCTGACCAATTGCCATCCAGGGTCAGGGCGGCCACAGGGTCATGAGGTGGTCCCAGAGGGGAGGCGGCTGCAGGCGGGGCGGGGTCTTCCGGGAGGATGGAACCTTGGGAGGGGCGCCCACAAGCGGTAGACGTCAGGAGCAGGCACTATGGGAACCGGAACACTGTGGTCCTGTGATCAGTGAGCAGTTGGAGCAGGACGTCGACGCTGAGGCAGCTGAGGACCAGAGCGATACTCGTGATACTCACGGGTTAACTTGACTTTTCCTTCTTGGTTTTCTGGTCTTCACAATCCTCTTTCCCACTGGGATCTTTGTGTAAGTGTTGTGACATTTCTTGAAATTTCATTCTGATGAGTACCTAGGTAAAGAAACTAACAAATGCTGTTCCCTTTTTAACTTTTTCTTTACCCACTTCACCTCATCTAGGCCTTGGTTGATGACTACTTTGGAGAGGGGAGGGGGGCTTAAAGGTGCAGGGACACCCTCCTTGCCTTTATTTCTGAGTGTCCCCTCTGTTGCATCTCTATCCTACCTCTTCTCTGTCCTTCCCTTATTACTGTCCCTTCTGTTTCCATTCACCATTTTTCAACCATGACCTTAGCACACAAAGTTAGGGTGTAAATTGGAATTGATAAGCTGGGAGATCCCAACTGCTACAAGGAGAGTATGTCCCTGTGAGTATGTGGCCAGGAT